TTTGCAATTCCTACAATTCCTATAAAAAGGCTTTATCGTCTTCAATCTGCAAATTTAACTTCCACCAAAAGTTCTATGTACCAATACCCGACAGAAATGACTAGGAACGGAACATACCTTCATTCATTGGAGATTATCATCTGTGGTACAAATTTAACTTCCACCAAAAGTCCCGTGTACGCATATCCGACAGAAATGACTGGGAACGGAACTTACCTTCATTCGCAGGAGACTGCCATCTGTAGTACAAGCATGGTTCCAAAACGATGAAAGGAGTGGGAGCGGGAATCTATGGGGTTGAACGAAAAGAAAAAATATTTGCGAGTGTGAATCAAGAAGACTCAGTTTTTCAGGATGAAGTACACGCAATTGCACTATGTCCACGGGAAAAAACCTATATATTTTCTCTGACAGCTAGAATTCGCTCAACTCGACTTTAACTCAACTTTAATGCTTTTAACTTCTCAAAGATCTTGTTGAAAGAAGCAAGTATCACTTAATATGGATTCCAGGAAACAACGGATTTGAGGTAAATGAGAAAACCTATGAATTAGACAGAAAAGGGTCGGCCTCATATTATATTGGGCTAAAAACCATTCTGCGAAGTGCGGCCCTACTTTTGGAGCTTTTTCAAACTTAAAATTAATGAATGGCTGGAAAAAGCAGCGCAGACTTATTGAGATAGTGTGATTGCTTGTAGACAAGCTAAAGAAAATATGCCGAATCAATCAAAAGCCAGAATTAAGAAGCTACTAATGCTAAACAGAAAAAGCATCCGACTTGTCACAGGATTTCTCACAGAACATTCCGGAGTCGTTATAAGAAACGATAGCTGCAGACTTTGTCACGAAGAAGAAGAAACAGAACACATTCTGTGTTACTGTGATAGTTTTGCCAGACGCAGACTTCGGTACTTATTAACTGCTTTTCCAGTTATAACGAAATTAGGCAACATATCTGCAAAGGATATAATGACATTTTTAACTGCTACGCACCTATTGAACTAAAGAGGGTTTGTCACAATAATTCAGTGACGTGGTAACTTAGTTACCAAAATCCAATCCAATCCTTTCAAAATCCGAACTAATATATAAACAAAGTTCTGAGTTTCATAAGTGCGAAAGCTGTATCATTAATGAAGAAGAAGAAAGCTAATCCCCACAGTGACCGTATACCTGTTATGATGTTGATCCACTCAAGTTTGAGTATGGTGTATTTAAAACATCTATGTACGATATATATGCAATGGGCAATACAGTACATATTACTCAGTTTAAACTGTTATTTTATAGTTTTTGAAAGTTTTTTTGTAAATTCTTGTACAGTTTCACCGATTGATAGCAGTATCATGCTATAAGCATAGGTGGGAGTTGTGTTACAATGTTGTGTTGGTAAATCCCAAGTGAGAAGTAAATTTCTTTATGGAACATCTGCTAGAATTTTACTAAAAAAGGGTTTACGTCTTCGTAGTGATTAACGGTCTGTGAGATATGATTGTGATATATTTAAATATGATTTTTTTAAGAAACCATGCAGCTGTGCAAATAATCACCAATAAGAGACTTTATCAAATAAGAGACTTTATCAAATAAGAGACTTTATCAAATAAGAGACTTTATCAAATAAGAGACTTTTTCAAATAAGAGACTTTTAGACGTATCAAGTCTAAAAAAGTCGTCAACAATATTTTTTTTTACTTCTAGTGTTTTTACGAATATATCTGTTATATCTATGGATTTCGTTTATGATTGAGACAATTTCTTGACCTGAATTTAAATGATAGTATTAATTTCCTTTCATTAACTATTGCATTCAAAAAAGATATATAGTTTTTATTAGTTTATCGGTTTATTGAAAAAAACATATGATTCTAATGTATAGTATCGTAACTATAAAGTCAATAATTTTATGATTAAGTTATTTATAAAACTTTTCTCGTTTATTGGATTGATTTGTAGTAGTAATAAAACGAGTATTAATGAATTTTTCATTGCTGTCGTTTTTTTTTTTTAATCAGTCATATACATTGTGACCGAAAAGCTTTCGGAAATTCTCATTTAAAATTCGCGCGCTGTATATTTTTCGATATTTTAAGTTTATGTAGTTTGGCAGCACTGTCCTTAATTACTATGCCAAAAATGAGCGCGATCTGTCAGACAGTTCGTTTACGGCAGCTGTTGAAACCAGTTCACCTCAGTAGTGCGTTGCGAAAAAAACAATGGAAAAAAATATTGAACAAAGAGTTTGCATCAAATTTTGTTTTTCGAACGAAATTTCGTGTGCAGAATCGTTGCGAATGCTACAAAAGGCTTATGGGGAATCAGTTTTATCGAAAACTCAAGTTTATGAGTGGTACAAAGCCTTTCAGGACTGTCGTACGACCGTCGAAGACATGCCGCGTTCTGGACGACCTTCGACCTCTACCACCGACGAAAACATTGAAAAGGCAAAGGAAATCGTGTTCAAAAATCCTCATGTGAGTGTTAGAGAGATAGCACGAGAGCTAGGCATCGGTCGTGAGATGGCTCGTTTGATTTTGGTGGACAATTTGTGTATGCGACGTGTCAACGCCCGGCTTGTTCCGATTCACCTCAATTTGTTCAACATTATCAACGATTTTAAGGCCAAACATTCAATAAATACCATCGAACAGCCACCGTATTCACCTGATCTTGCACCGTGTGACTTTTTCCTGTTTCCCAACCTCAAATTACCACTCAGAGGAACGCGTTTTGAATCCATAGAAGACGTAAAACAGAATTCGCAGAGGGAACTCAAAGCCATACCGGAAAGCGCCTATAAAAAATGTTTTGATGATTGGAAGAAACGTTGGCATTTGTGTATCGCTTCTAATGGAGCATATTTTGAAGGAGATAAAATAAATATTGATGAAGATTAAGAATTTTGCGTTTTATTTATTTATTTCCGGAAACTTTTCGGTCACAATGTACTTTACAACGTCAACGTCACCGTCAACTCCAACACCCAATGGTTATAAATTGCTTTGGAAAATGTTTATATTTGGCTTATTTGTTTCATCCTCTTCAAACAAATTAAAAGTGAATAAACTGTGATTGCTGTGTTTCTTTCTGTGTGATTAAATATTTTTATTGTGCCTAGCCGGGGCGAACGAAGGGGTTGGTCGGTCAATAAAGCCAATATAGACGAACCGATCAAAAAGCCAAAATTATTAATAATACGTTCCTTTTGCTACCAATGCATTAGAAGTATGGAACCCCATTTATTTGTTTAATTTAATTAGGGCAGTTTGATAAAAAAAAAATTTCTACTTTCCCTTCATTCGATAACCTCAATTTTTTTTCTGTATTGTACTTCTTTAGTTGGTTAGTTTCTTCTCAGCTACTGTTTTGACACTTTTTGGCCTTTTTTGCCGTTTATTTAAGGAAGAGTTTCGTTATGTTAAAAGAAGTTTGACAAAAAAATAGTTGTTTTATTTTTATTTAATGTTTTTATCAGGACATCAGATCGAGGATTTTTATGTTTCATTTCAATTTAAAAGAATATATATCGATTTGGTTCTGATTTTCGCTTTGGTCAAAATATCGATTTTTCTACTGTTCACTTGAAGGTCTTGTAGTTGATCAAGATCCTCAAAGAAGAAGGCGCCTAAAATACTGAGTCACCGTCGTGTATAAGCTGTGCAAATATTAAGCAGATAGGAGGTACTTTCATCGTCTTCTCCACAAGTGCAGCAGGTATTATTAAAGGGGATATTCAAACTTTTAGTATGGTTACCTTATCTATAAGTAAATCTTTCACAGAGCTGATATTATCATAGTATAAAATATCATAAAGAACCAAATATTGCATCATTAGTAGCAGTACTTTCTAAAGTTATAAACACATTACTTTTGATATCTTTAAGATGTTAGTTATCTCACGCAACTTTACTTAATGGCCTTTCAAAATTATTTTGTAGGGTTGTTTTATGTTTTCTGATACAACCGCCGATTTTGGGTCAGCATTATCGGTGTTTCTATGACCACTTCTGAATTCAAATATTCTGTTTATACTATTTAAATATCTAAGTGTAGAGACTTATCAAGCCTCTGCTTGATTTCAACGATCATCTACAATTTTATTTATTAAAAATCAATATTTTATTAAATTTTTTTTATCCATCGTTTTGAAATTTATATAACTACTGCCATTAAAATCACTATAACATAAAAACTAGCTATCAGAAAGTCCTGAAATATCGTTTGAAGAATGCTAATCTCCACAAAACATCTATATTTGGGTCTGTTAAAAATGTTGTCATATGTGTGTCATACTGGATTCTTATTGATTGGTACGATACATTGAATATATTTATCAAAACTTCTTTTCTTCTCTCTCTTAAAGAAATTTTTATAATTAAAATACTTCTATTTAAAAAACTTATTTAAAAAAATTTTAAACTTTAAGGTTGGTCGTATACTGAACTTTTAGTGTATATACGAACCTACGCTATTCTTGTGGTACCACAATGGGCCATTATTTGAGCACAAGTGGACTTTCTTAGATACAAGGCTATCTACCTATGTTTATAAAGAAAGTTATAAATAAAAATATTTATTTTATATACATTATAATTAATTATAATTAACTAAAGAGGAATGTGCTTCTATAAGCAGATACTGTACAGAACTGTATGGAACCGAAATAGATTCATATAATTTTCTCAGTTCAGATCCAATTTTCGTCCCGATCAAAATATCGGTATTGTTTTGTTTAAATCCCTGTTATTTCTTTCATTGTTATTTATTATTTTATCAATAAACTATTATGAAGATTGAATTCAAACATCCAATTTTCGGATTTTTATTAGAAATATCTGTACAAAAAAAAATAACTTTACTACCTGATTTTTTGCCATTGTTAGAACTATTTATATATATATATA